TATCTTTTGTGTATATTTCCCCTTAACGTCGTTTTTTAAATTGTTCTCTAATTCCTCCATTGTTGGCTAAGTTCCCCTTAACGTACAGGTAATAATAATTAATAAAAATAATAATAATAATAATTATTATAATAATAATAATCATTTCGGCATTACATGTAATTAACTTGGTCTAGCCTTGTAATCAAGAACCTGCCGATTACTATGCCTAATATTAATAACTAGCTCATTTTTACATTCATTTGGTGCTCTGCCATTTTGGCAGGTCTTATGGCATCCAGTATTTTAGAGCTGCCTATTCTCAGCTCTTCTCTTAATTTGAAAATAACTGTCACCCTGTTTAATTTGATGAAGAAAAACGCGCTTTTCCTTACTCTTTGTGCTTTTCCCAATAAGAGCGTCTTAGTAGGCCCTAGGTAATTATGCAAAACCAAGGCCTAACTAAAAAATTTAAATTGTCATAGTATGTAACTCAAGTTAAAATAACACTTTCCATTACTCGTGCAGCTTAATCAAATATTATATGTCATTTGAAACGACCCATTGGTATTAACATAGTGACATCAATGTATTTTTAAAAATTAGACAGCGACGTTCTCTCAGAAGTTGTTTTGTAGACGTTTATCTGTTGATGACCTTTTGACCTCCTGAATTCTACTATGAGATTTTCGGGTCGATTCAGCCGAGACGGCCCGAGTGGAGTTTCATTTAAATGTTTCGTACGGAAAAAATAATCGCGACCCGGAGAGAGAGTGGGCCGGCCGCCGTTGTTGTGTGTAGGCCTAGTCTCTTTACTATCGTTTTTGAACGAAAATCTGCCTCTCCCCTATGCCTTTTTAGACACATTCGCGTTACTACTTCTTCAAGATTCCAAGCCCATTCACGTGGTGCCTCACAGGGGTGGCGCCAGCGGGGGGGTTCGGGGAGAAAAAGCACAATTCGTCGGGGAGAAAAAAATATGTATTTTTTACATATTAGTAGACTCTAAAATCGATTAAATAAGCCTTTGAAACCACTAAATTGTCGAAATTTTCGTGACCACTTTCGGAACCTTTTAATCGAAGCTCGACCACACCCACTTTGCTTTCGTTGGGGAAATCTGACACCTCGTCGGGGAAATCTGACACCTTGTGTATACATTTTTTTTTCAGGCGTGAGGCTTTGAAAATCGCCCTTCCCCACACCCCTCCCCTGGTTTCAGTTGACAAAATTTGGGGTGATGAGATTCTAAAACTAGATAGGCCGTATTTTAATTCTCATAATTATCTATATATTTTTACAATCAAAGCAAAAAATTGAGTGATCATTTGATTTGGTATAAGAAACATTATTATTTTTTTTTTTTTTTTTTTTTTTTTTTTTCACACGTAACTCGGCAACGGTAGGTCGCTGAACTTTGGGGTAAACGGCGGTCAAGTGTAGCTTATAAATTAATCTTTCTTTACATTTTGCTGATTGCTAAAGAATCCAGTGATTTTTTTTTTCTTCAAAGTTTTTTAGTCTTCAAAATCGTTTTTGGCAGTTGATCGAATGATTATATGCGAATATAACAGACACGAATTTAGTGTGGTCTGTGGTGAGTGCGTTCATCATACATGCGATGTAAGTAAAATTTATATGGATGCGCTTACAGTACTATATTGGACATATGTCCTAGGTATTATTATATGTAGGAACTAAACTAACAAATAGCTTGAGTCTCAAGGCAAATGCGTGAAAAGTGGTAGGTCTGTACTTTATTCTAAGCCTCTAGTAATTCGTTCGCGTCCTTAAATTCCTTGAATGTCATGGAAAAACAAATGAGCAATTTCCAGTACTGGAAATTTATGCCTGTCCTTGAATGTCCTGGAAATTTGATCATTTTACCATTTATCCAGTACTGCAAGTTGCCTAGTAACAGTAAATTAGATGAGAAACGTTCCCACATGTAGGTTCCCATGATACTCTTGGGAGAAGCAGGTCAAGTCTTTGTACGCCGCCAATTCAGGAACGTTATCAAAGACAGAAAGTACAGTACAGTAATGCCAAATGCAGAAAGTGGCCGACTGGCTGGCAGTGGTTCAGACAAACTTGTGCGATTCAATGAATGGAGTTGTTCGTCTATATTTTAGTAAAGTGGTGTTTTTTTAATCCTGTATATTAATTATGTTTGCATATAATTTTAATTCAGACACTGAAAATTATAATCATTAACTTTGTTGATATATATGCTATGGTGTTTTTATTTGCTTTCTGTTGTGTGTTACAAACAATAATATAAAACATAAACTTCTGTTCAACAGGTCTTGTCGCACGTGCTCATCCCTGAGAATTCGGTTTGTGTATTTCATTACTCTCCGTGCACACTTGCTCTGCACGAATGAAAATTTTTGGCCCTATCTATCTAGTCAAAGGCACCAGGTGCAAGGAAGTTAATCAACAACGTAACCATGGGAACGTGTGCTTCTACAGTTATTTTCTGAATGGTGTTCGTGTTTAAAGGGCGTTTACATTTAATAGTCCTTGATTTTTATAGCGAGGTATTTAGTTAATTATGTTTCGGAAGTTTACAAAATCGTTTAAGAAAAAAAAAATGCCGGTCCACATCTAGATGTGTATAAGAGACAGATCCTATATTTAGTAATGCGCCTATTTCATATTGTTTTGTTATTTTCCAGATAACTTCAAGCATTGGGTTGACGGTGAGGTACCTAAGGTCCACGGTGGGGTCGGGGCCCCCGAAGCCAGAGCAGTTTTTGTGTTTAATTGGTCTATATAATGTTTTAAAAGCAGTTATGTTTTGAAAAAGATCTATGAAATTAAAAGGTGGTAATATAATAAAATTAGAATATATTTTATGAGAATTGGCATGTTTTAATAACACCGAGAGATATATAAAAAAGGCCTCATCGTATAATCAATATCAATATACTCAACACATTTATTATTATAAAACAAAAAAAGGCTATTCTTCTTCCCCCTCTTCCTCTTCCTATTCTTCTTCTTCTACAACTTCTTCTTGACTCTCATTTTGTACACTGAAAATAATAGTACTATTTTACTACATGGCTAAAAAAGCACAAATATTGTCATTACTACTGACAGGGCCATCGTTAAATTAAGTCAGAGCCCAAAATATAGCATCATATTCAATACGTCATCTGACATTATGAGAACCTAAACTTTAATACAATTATTTGTTATATACTGGCCTAATTCGAAATTATTATTTTAAGACTTTATAACATAATACATACTGATTAATAATAGCTGAGATTTAATGCACATTCTAGAATTAATAATCGTTTTTAGTATATCTTCCTGAATATTTATTGTCTACCAAATGAAATATGAATTATATGCATCTTTAGAAATACAATTTATACAATAATAATCTTGTTTTTATATAGATAAATATTCGATAAATTCTATCTTTCATTTAAAAAAAACGAAATTCAGCGCATCTTTTTTCAGTCTAATCAATGGCGTTTGTAAACGTGCACTGACGTCATCGTCGAATTCCAGGACTTTCGACGGTAAAGCTAGCCTGCCTGCCCAGGTCCCAGGCCAACCAATAATAATTAAAAATTGTTTTTTTTTTTGTTTTTTTTTTGGTTTTTTTTTTTACATGCACTTTAACTTTTACAAGAAAAGCCTAGGCCTATTACCTGTAGTACGTCCGTACAACCACGTGTGCCACAGGTGTTACAAAGCATACGTTCCTGCTCTGTGAAGTAAAACTTCACCAGACACCTGGCAACCTTTCTGCTATCGTCGCTGTGTTGCAATAGTTTAAGTACTAGGTTGTTTGGCAAGTCATGTGTATGTTCTGTAACTTGATCTTGCTGGGTGACTGTTTGTTCGACAGGTGATTGTGGTGTGTGAGGTGGTACATGTTGCAATAGTGTAGGCGAGGATAACTCGAAGGCGGCGAGGATAACTCGAAGGCCGCCAGGCGCTGGTGGTGCGATCTTATTTCAGTCTCTTGAGTGGCAATAAGTTCAGACTGATTGTCAAGCATGGACTTCAGATTGCTGACAGAGTGGCTGAGCTGCTTTATTGTATTATTCATCTCCCTCATGTCTGGCTCTGGCTCTGGTTCCCACGACCTGGAAGAGCGAGGAGCTTCTTTTCCTGTTTTTTCCATAATTTCAGCTGACATGGTTTCCAAAATCTTGTCATATTCACTTATGTCCATGTAGTCATAAGTAAAGTCCGGCACATCAGAGATTATAACAGGGGGGATCTCTGATATCTGTAACACACTTGCAGCCTAAAAAGATGGGGTAAATATACTTGATAACTTGCAATAAATTTGTTTAACAACAAAGACGGCAGGAATCGCGCGCTCTTAACTCATACAGTTGCATTATGTATCCCTACTAGAAGAGAGACGCAGAGTGTTAATCCATTCATGCTCCAAGACGGTTGGTGTATAGTTTTTGTAAAACACAATGTTGTAGGTTGTTTTCATCAAAATCAATTGATAAACATGTTCTTAACAAGGGCTTCAATTCTGTCTAATAATTATATATTTATCTATTTATTGTGTAAACACTGAATAAGTAAACTATTTATTTACATACCGGTTTTGTCACAGAAACAGTTTTTTTCTTCTTTCTTTGATTGGTGGTTGAAGCGGTGGTGGTAGGAACACCCACATTAGTTTCAACCTCTGCAGCTTGCTGTAAATGTGCAGCCTAAATAGATGAAGGAAAATACTGTACAATTTAATTTACAATAATATTGGAATTTTTCCAGTATATTGTATACTTATTTACTTTTCACTAATAGTTCGTCACAATACATATAAATATATATTGAGCAGGAGCATGGTTTATGTAGAGATGACATAAGATAAAATGTCAACATATTAAGTGGTCATCTCTTATACACATCTAGATGTGTATAAGAGACAGAGTTTCGAGCTTCATTTAAAAAAAAATTAATTCATTGTGCATAAATGAATAATTAATTCAGTTCACATTTTCTAGTCAATTCAACTGGCTTGTAAATACAGAATTTTATTTTTTTTAAGATTTTAGTCAGTAAATCAATGAGAAACGATTTTGTTTAACGATTTAAAGTACATTAAAAATATATTTAATTTCATTTAATAAATTGGCAATTTTATTGCATTTTCATAGCTGCATTTTAGAAAAGAAAATCGCGTTAAGTATTTCAAGAAAAATATGGGCGAGTTGCCTTGACACGGTTTTAGGTGGAAACTGAATAGGTTGAACTTACCGGTTTCGTCAGGCAGGCGGTTTTTTTGTTTCCTCTTTTGGCTTTTAGTGAGAATGCTTTCAGTGTCATCAGGACAGGGCCTTTTATTTGTAGACGGTATGCTGGAAACATCGTTTTTCCCGTTGCCGACTACATAATTATTCATACCTCACCGTCAACCCAATGCTTGAAGTTATCTGGAAAATAACGAAAATTAAACTTAGTGCAACACACAAGTAACCAGCTATGTGCCAAGCGACTGTCGGTGTATAGAATGTAAGGTGAGTAAAGTTTATATTCGAACAATATGATATAGACGCATATTTACTGAATATAGGCTAGGTCTAGGCTTATAAATATTTATATAGGCCTACAAAATTTACAGATAGGTCTATTTAATTCGTAGCCTAATCTCCCGTTGCATAATAAAATGTATTGTATAATACAATCGTAGGCCTACATAACATTCTTAAGTCCACTCGAATGCCTAAACTATGCCCAGTTACTTTCTATGTCTACTGCCACGGGGGAGGGGGCAGGGACCTATTGGAGTTTACCAATGTTATCACCCACCCACCCTGAAATCTTTATTACCGCCAACCCTTAGTTGTCTTACAGCTACAAACCTATGCCCTATGAATAAGCACACCATGACAAAATAGTATTTTGCAAAATCTCTGAAAAAATCTCTTGCTTACCTGACATAAGAAAGGGTCGTTGGTTTGAACTGTCAGCAAAGGGGAAATCCCTCCATCAGGAAATGACTTCCTGAAGGAGTCTCCTTTTTGCAATCGGCGCACTGTTTCATTTACTTTCGTCAATCGACGCAGTTGTGGGGCTCTCAAATTATCGGCTGTCACCCACTCCGTTGAAGGGTACCCTACCCATTGGATAAGTGCTTCCCCTTCCCTGGTCTTCTTAACTCTTCCCCTTAACCACACACCACAAGTACTATCAACACCTTGTATACTACTTCCGACTTTAAACATCATGCAAACACGACCGAAACTAGTTCTAAAATGAAGTTTGATTTTATTATAGGATGATTTTATTATAGGATATAAATGGGAGTGTCGGAAATTTCCAGGTGCGCAAAAAAATCATACGCATGCTCAGTCGTGCTGAATGTGCTTGATTGATAATCTAATACGCCACGCCCATTGACTATTAATCCCCACCCGAACCGAATTATGCATTGTGGGTAGGGACGTTAATACACTAAGACCTCATTGACCGTATATCCCACCCAATCAACCATGCAATCCGGGGGGTAGGGGCGTTAATACATTATGGTTTCATTTAATATTGATCCCCACCCGAACAGATTTATGCATTATGGATAGGGACGTTAATACACTAAGCTTTCATTGCTCATTAATTCCCACCGAACCGATTTGTACATTTTTATACATGGGTGGAACGAATGCACTCTCATTGAATCGCCAAAATGCTATGTATTGTATTGATTCGTATTTGTACGGTAATTGAAAAGTTGGATGAATGACGTAAATATATTAATTTATGAATGATTTTTGGGGTTGTTTTTGTCTATATAAATAATTCCGACATAAAACTTGTACACCAATTATTTGGCCTACTAACTTATGTTAAAAGTGATTTTTGAAACAGTTAAAAACTGCTAATCAATTCTCTATTAGAACATTGTGTAGCCCTGAGAAGGGCTGTTTGTTTTGAGATATGTTTAATACCCTGTAGCTTTACCGAGTCTTCTTACAACAGCTGGTACGACCTTCCGTAAGTGCTGGACGTAGTTCTGACAAAGCTCAGCTGTCATCGTCAGAATCCAAAAGCGTTGTATACCTTCTATCAGCTCAGCTTTGGTGTGGGGCTTGTGATCTTTCCGCAGAAAATCTTTCATTTGGTGCCACACCAATTCAATCGGATTCAGATCTGGACTTTCTGCCGGCGTTTTCCACCAGTTTATGTGGTTCTCACGTAGGAATTGCTTGGTAGCATTGGCAGTATGCTTTGGATCATTGTCCTGCATAAACCGATAGCCATCTGGAAAACGCTGGCGTACGTATGGCAACAAAGTTGAATTCAAAATTGAATCGATGTAAAATTGCGTTCGCATGATACCATCGAAGATGACTATAGGTACAGAACCTCTCGTGGATATCCCAGACCAAACATGGACTTTGGTTGGGTGCTTTGGTCTTGCCTTCAACTTGGGCTGGTCGTTAAGTTTCCTGAATGATAGGCGCCCATGGTGGTCAAGCTCAATCGTGCTCTCATCTGCGAAAATCACATTCTTAAATTGCTCATTCCTGCGAATACAGGTAAGAGCATAATCGAGCCTATCCACCCTGTTTGGCTCCCTGATTAGTTGGCAGTAGCGACTACCTTCACATTTCCACCCCAGTTTTCTTCGAGTTTTTTTCACCGTCTCGATCGATAGGTCAACATTGGTTTCAGCTTGAATCGTTCTTTTAAGATGGCTGGCTCTTAACTCGTCATTTGCCTCCATCTGTCTGTCGATTATGTTTAGTATTTCATCGGTGACAACTTTAGGACGTCCAGAACGGGGAAGATCAGCAATGCTACTACGATTAGCGAATCGCTTTATTATTCTTTTGACCGTTGACTTATGAATGGAAAACCCGTCAATGCGAAGGATTTGTAATATCTTGGATACACTGAAACCCAGGCTATTGTAACGTACAATTCTTGAGCGGATGTGAAACGGTGTTCGAGACATTTTTAAGTGAAAATATTGAACATAAGGCCACATTACAATTTTTTCTGTACAGTATTTGTCAATCAAAATTATTTTAGCCAATCTCTGTGTCTGATGGTGGACCTATGTACATGCGCATAAATAATCTAAATTTTGTTTACGGACCCAAGAGATTGATAGGCCTTCATTAAAAAAAATGTATAATATTAATATTAATTTTTCCTGTATTTTTCAATCAAAATTATTTTAGCCAATCTCTGTGCCTGATGGTAGACCTACGTACATGCGCATAAATAATCTAAATATTGTTTACGGACCCAACATATTGATTAGGCCTTCAAGACGTACGAACAACAAATTTTCTATCAATCAACAAAGTTTCGTATCTCTCAAAAGGTGGTACAGTATGTAAGTACACCTAGCCATCTAGGGGCTTTTATCACAGAGCTTTTGGATTGGTTCACACAAATTGAATATTCATTAACTAGGTACCGGTCTGGGTTCCAAATACCCCCAGTAGCCCAAGTATTTTGATACACTGTCATTTTGGCGGAATTACTATGTCAAGCAAACCCACAAACAAGTACAGTAAACAAGATATTTCTGTCTGTCAATCTGATTGATATATACCCAGTCACGGAGTTTCAAAATAATGACGTAGCAGGTGTGTCCCATCCACTTTCACAAACACCCACTCACCGGCACCAGGCCCAATTTCTAGCAAAAAGAGTAAACAAGCCTTTTTGCACGGTCCATGTCGCCGTTTCCCGAAAAAAAACTGGCATACCTAGGCCTACATTAGAACTCGAGGAAGCAAAAACCTCCCGTTAACTAATCTCCCGAATGTCGTGTTTTAAATCGAACAAACTCCATGGGTTTTACAGTACAGTAGTAAACAAAAATTGCAAACAAAAAAAGGGGAAAAGCAATCCGTAAAATCTGCGAGGCTAGTAAAGTCCGCCCAGCTAGAAGGAAGCCTAGGCCCTAAACAGACAGCAGGGTGGGAGTTATCCGACGAATGTTGCAATACAACTATTTTAGTTCCTCTGGCTAGAAAGTAATGGTATTGGGGTATAGCACTGGAGTTTATTATAGATCATTTTGGACGTACTAGTAGGTTCTATTTAAATTTAACGTAATAATCACAACAAAAAAAATCGTGGTTCATGATGGATGTTACTGGGTCTCAGGGGCGGATCCAGAAATGTCCAAAAGGGGGGGGGGGCCGA